CTGAGAGATAGCTGCACAACGCATCTCCTTCATCGATATAATTTACCTATAAACCATGAACGGTTTTTCAAATTATTGTGTTACACAAAAACTCGGCGAGCTGTCGGTAAAGTATTTTGGGGGGAGGGGGTGGGGGGGCGGGTTGGTGCAACGGTACAAGATATGGAAACGAGACATGATGCATTAACGGTATAAATACACATTCTCTGGAATCGACAGGGTAATTTCTTACACAAAAAAAAAAGAAAAAAAAAGAGAAGTTGCTATCCGGGAAGCAAAGATTAAAGGCGGAGTTTTACCGTCCCTCTCAGAGCCAGTAATCCGTCACATCGCGCGTCTTATCGGGCAGCGAGGTGCGCTTTTATTTCGGTGCTTGCACATCCTGGTCTGGGTGTGCAGGCGGGCGGGCTGTTACGCAGCTCTGTTGTTGATATGTGTTGTCAGCTGAGCGGTGAGGACAGCCTGCTGCGGAACAGGCTGTTCCCGGCCTGGCACGGAACGGGTTACAGGTCAGGGTGTCTATTGGAACACAGTGTTCTCATCAGCCGCGGCAGCGGTACAGCTACAGTACAGCCGGAACATTGTGTTACTTTGTGGCCGCTTTCCAAGACCTGCCCTTAATTTTACACTAAACGCCCTCCCACAAACTCTTCTCGTTTTCTACTCCCTCCTCTCTGTGTCTTTTTTTCTTATTCTATGCGTGTCTCTGCCTCTCTACAGTATCTCCCCTGTGTCATTTTGAAGTCAGAGCTCCATGTGGCCGCTCCACCGGCACGTTTATCAGTGAGGACAGAGTGAAAGAGGAGAGGGGGGGGGTGGCTCAGAGACAAAAAGAGCGCTATCTAATAACCACATGGACAGAACATTTGGTACCCAGCCGAATACAGTATAAGAGGGGAAAAAAACAAAAACGAGGAGCATTTTAAGATTGACCCGGTGAATTTTTAGCTGCCGGCCGGTTCGGGGAAGACATTTGACAAAGCGGCTCTCAAGGAAATGTAAGTCCGTTCATTCTTTTTTCTCTGTTTAGTTGTCTCTAATTATTCTGTGGTTGGAAAACTTGACAAAGGGATTATTGAGACATTAAGTATAGAGGCGTTATAGTTCTCCTGCTCGCGCTTGACACAGTGAAATGGACACTTGTTAGGGCTCAGCCAGGGGTTTTGCCTTTAAATCAAAGTCGTGTCTAATTATGAAAAAGTCATAACGAAGATGAATGTTGAAATTTGCCGCACGAGTCAAAACAATAAGGGCTGGAGGTGTGTGTAGGTAAGAGTGTATGAATGTGGTCCTCGGTTGTGGGTCCCTGAGGAGAGTGGATGAGAACATCCAGGATCCCAGAGGGCTTAGGTGTATCTTCATAAATTACAGGCTTCGTCGCTGTTTCTTAGAATTATGACATTATCTCCTAGTATTGTGCGGATTCATTTTTTTTTTACCAAGTTGCACATTACAGGGCATGATTGTAGTTTGTAAGGAACTCTAAAATGTAAGGCTGTATTCAGATTCGGACCAGGTGGGATGCAGGCAAAGAGGACTTTTGAAACTGAAATTGCTAAAAACCCTTCATCTGTGTAAAAACAAAGAGGTCTTTGGAGCCATTCGGGAAGTTTCTTCCACTGAGACACATATTCAGAAGGATCAGATCCTTTTATTTATGCCTGACACCCGAGAAAGAAAAACGTCGAAGTTGATGGTTCTGCCACCGGTTCACAATAAACGCACACAAAAGCTTTTCCAGTCTTGCAGTATGTTTAAAAAAAAAGTGATGTGAGGACAGGCCACTCAACAAGTTTTCTCTGCATCATTTTAACACTCTGTCCTGCTGAAAGAGAGGACTGTCGGATGACAGTGTATAGGCTTACCATGCACAGAGTGTACTCAGACGTTCAGGTATGAATCAGCAGCCGAGTACGGATGTAAGACAGAATGTACAGATACACTGTGTGTGTCTGTGAATGTGTTTGCCTCATTGTGTTCTGTCCCTGCATTCCTCCACAGGGTATCTTAATTTTGGTATATGAAGTCTACATGCCATCTTATCTGCATTGCAACTGTTTGTACTCTGTTACCTTTTTCAGTGTGTCAGTGTTTGTTATTTTTCATTATGGGAGAGAATAGAATATCAGAAAAGATCAAACTGATGTACCCAGGAAGTTTCCCTGATGAATATTGTTAAAGATTATGCCTAGTCAGATCATCACTCCCCCACCTCCAACTTAAATATATTTTAAGCATAACTATGAGTGTATGCTCAATTAGACATATTTATACAGAGTGTTTTTGTCCAAAAATTGAAGGCCGCTTTTACGTGAGGGAGTCTTAGATTGGTTAAGACCGTCAGGCTTTGCCAGTGGGGAACTGTGAATAGAAAGAACATTGTGTTCAGAGACACACACACAGACACAAACGTGATGGTGTCACATCTAAAAAGAAGTACAGGAAATGTCATAGATACAGGTCAAGGTGCTGCCACTGATGGATGGACATTTTGTGCTGCTTTTTGCTTCCGAGCACTCGATGTTTGAGAGAGGAAAAAAAGAAACAAAGAGGCAGAGCTAACTGACTCCACCGAGACAGATCTTTGTGCCTTCACCCTGTCGGTTGAGGCTCATGAAAGATGCCGTGCCTTATGGTTTTTAAGATACCATTCAGGTTTTGATCACATCTATATCTCAATCAATATTTAAACAGAGTTTGGGTCTTCAGCCTCAGGTTGAGGGCCGTTGTCTAATGTTCGCACATTTACCGACAGGATATTTATCAAGCTCGTCACCACAGCCAATATATAATAAAAAAATAAAATAAAGTACTGTTCACAAATAGGTACTTATGAACTCCTAAGTGACCAAAACTTTGCCTTCATGATGAAGACTTTTCTTGAGTTATCAAATAAAATTCAATTTTAAAAAAAAAAAATTCTTGAGAAACAGAGCAGCGAGGGTCACATTCGTTCCTCTAATTACATGTCTCACCTCTTACCATTATACATTTCTTTTAGTAAACATAAACACAAAAAGTAGCGTCTATGTACTTAGAAGCACAGAACCACCAATTTGGGATTCATGACTTAATCCTTTAAGTAGTTTAAGTAGCACATTCTGCCTGCAGGAGTTTAATTTTGAATTAGAAAAATATTGTCTCCTCTTTGGACACATACATCATTGTAAGGATCTAAAAGTTTTGCTGCTGACCTTTGTCACATTGCAGCATTTTAGAAAAGAAAAACCTAATTACACTCAGAAAAACTCTGTACCTGACGTAGAGTCACTTCGGGTTACACATCTAAATTCAGTCAAGCTTTTATGAGGCATGCTTTTTGGCACTGTAACAACAACAAAAAACTACTTCTCATTACTCTTGATGTGGATTCAGTCATTGCAAAAAACAAAAAACAAAAAGATGACTTCCCAACTTTGACACAGAGTGCTAACCTCAGTAACATCCCTCCGTGGTCCAGAGCAGCTGCGATCTGATGCTATGTGACTAAGCGTTAACGTCTCAGCTGCTGCGTGTGATGAGAGTCATCCAGCGGTGTCTGCCAGCATGTTAAACATAGCCAAGTTGTTTTTTCATTGTCTTCGGTCAATGTCAAGATTGTTCCAGGGCACGGTGCTAATTTTGCCTATATCTGAATGTAGAGGACGCCTGCTGCTGCAATGAAAGAGGCAACATTTAGCAGCTTTTAACAGCAACGGGTTATTACTGTTTTTATTGCTCTGGCAAAACCTGCTTTGAAATTCCTCATGACACATGGAGGTGTGAGGCTGTGGCTATAAAGCTTATATCTGTCCACCAGGGCACAAACTGAAAATTAAGGAACAGAAATAATTCCGTCAGATCAAGTTTCCAATACCTACCATCACTAAGTTTTTTTATAGATTATATTTCAGTAATGTAGCTGTGCTGCTGCTTCTGTTATGGCAACAATTCACATCCTGTTGATTCATTAATACTGAAACCGTCTCGCTGATCAGTACGTGGATGAAATCATTTGAATTCTAATCTCACATTTATTTGGACTTTCATTGGACTGCACGCTGTATTTGATTTTTTGTCATGCAGATAACTTAGATTTATTTATTTCACAGATGCAACACCAAAACTGTTGGAACTTAAATCTTTTACCCCTGTAAAACAAGTCTATTCCTAGTTAAAAAGACATTTTGGCAGAGAGGACAGTTTTCAAGTAGTCCCATTTTGTCCTGTAAATATGCCGTAAGGTGTGGGTTTATATAGGGAAATATCAGTGTCACATTTTCTCCTCTCAAAAATTTTCCACACATTCTCTCACTGGGATAGGTTTGAACTGCATTCAGTCCAACCCAGCATCAGTATACCCTTTTCCTCATCAGCCATACCATTGCAATGTACTCTTGATGTGGTTAATATTTTTTAGAAATATGTATAAATGTTCCAGGAAAGAGTCTAGTTTTGATGGCAGAATAAGCTTCTTTAAAATCTACATGAGCCTTTATACATCAAGGCCCCCATCACAGAAGTGTAAAGGGCACCATTAATTTGACCCCACACCATCTCAGAGTTTGACCTTTGGACTTAATGATTAGAAATGTCAAAATGGTTATTTTCAATCTCAATCTCTTGATACTGACCCACAAAAATGAATCTGGTTTGGACTGGGCAGTGTTCTGTTCCACTGTGTGATGGTTAATCTCAGATGCCCCTGTGGGGGACGCTGCCTCAAAATATGGTTAGGTTACGTTTTTCTAGACAGTTGAGTGTTGTTACAGTGTGTGAGTGTGTGTGTAGAGCAGCTCCTTACGTCCTGTTCCTGGTTAAACTCTGTGACCGCAGACAAGAGGTCACAGCACTGAGGCTATGACAGTGATGATGGCAACAAGTGTCTCATCAAATATTTTTCTATTTATTCAGCTTGTTCTGTTTGAAATGAAGTCAATGCAATGCCCCTAAATGGATCTGAAGCCCATGTAAAAGTGATGAAACTCCTATTTGTTCTGATACCATGTCGGCTAAAATGTTGGCGACGTGCTAATATGTAAACACCACAAGCACTGTTGTGGTCATCAAAAATGATCAAAATCATCTCCACGGGATAGAGCCAGCCAACACTCAAGAATCAAATATTTGAACATGTTTCAACTTTTTAATACTGACCATCAAAGCTGTATTCTACATGTGTTTATATCAACTGAAACAGGATGTATGATATGTATCATCTTCATTGTTGATCTCATCAAAGCTTTGTTTGAAAGAAATTAGACATTTAGCAACACGAAATGTTATCTTATTGATTTATTTTCAATCCACAGAAGAATAATTATTTTCATTACATTGTACTCACTGTTTAAGAAGACAGTTGAACAGAAGCATTGAAGAAAAAAAGGGCTAAAATATAGCAAATGGCAAAGGCCCCCCATAGTTAGAATATAATTTGTACCAGTTCAAATTTTGATAAGACACCAAAAGAGTGTTTACTAATCAGGTGGAGCTGAAGCATCTATCTCTATCTACTGTATCATGACTAATGTGTGTTTTGTGTGTGAGGCTCTCAGTTAAAAGACTTCACTGATATTCGAATGCTAATTAGAAAATCAACAGCAATAACTTCTAAGTTTTGCTTAGCTGGCTTTTAATTCTGGAGTTTTTCTACTCAGCTACTTGAATGTTTACAAAAACGAGTTGAACAAAGACTTGCAGTTCAGTAGGGTGATCAGAAAAGGTGGAATACAGGCATTTGTGACCAGTGGTAACAGAACAGTGCAAGACATACATTTTGACTCAGGAGTCGAAAGGATTTTGTCTCTCCTGGCCCAGAAACATTGATTTATACCATGCTGTCTTTAATGCTTTAAGTTCCCTAAATTAACGAGACATTTAATTGATTTAGAGTGTTCAGATTGTTAACTAGCATGTTTGTGTGTTTGTTCATATCTCTTATAGTGTTACCCTGTGATGCCCACCCACCGACATGACCACTGACCAGGATTTGCCCATGGAAGGCCCATCAGCCACTGCCCTGTTTGCTGCAAAAGGCCTAGATATAACACCAAATAAAGACCAAGGAGTTATTAAGGTCTTTCAGTTTCTCGTTTCAGTTCTGCCATTGTTACTGTTGGTGTTCAGGCACCACTAAAATCACTCTACCACCGAGTGACACGTCACAAATTGCTAACTGTGAAGTTGTCTCTGTGCATGCAGGTTGTGAAGCGTCAGGGGTTCGATGGGGAGCAGCCAATGGTAGGTGACAGAGTCACAGTCCACTACACTGGAAAACTACTAACTGGGAAGAAATTTGACAGCAGTCGAGATCGCAATGAGCCTTTTTGCTTTAATGTGGGCAGAGGTAGGTACCAGTATGCATCAGTCATAATGTGTGCGTATTGAGTTTCTGTCTGGATTTTGTCTTATGATATAGCTAGATTTACATTAGGAAGAGTTATATTATTACAACCTCTTTATTATATGATTATAACCTTTTGCAGGGGTTAGGTTAGTCTTTTACTAAGTTTACTTCTGTTGCCCTAATTCGGTCAGTCTTCAACTAATTTTTGCCTGTTTTGAGTATTTTGGTTCATTTTACCTGTCTTACTTTCTGTTTTTTTCTTCCTTTATTAATCACAGTTTAGTAGTCTGTTTATTTATAATTTATTAATCATTTAAATTTCCTTTGCCTTTAAACTGTTTTGTTGGTCAGACCCAAAGTGGTTTGTCTGTTTTCTTTTTTTCTTTTTTTTAGGGAATAATATTTAGGGAATTTTGGGCATCATGGCTTGGAAATTAACGATACACTTAATAATCTTTATATTTGGACATCTTTGGTGGTCATTTGTGCATTTGGTATGCAGATATTACATCACAGTTTATCATAGTCAGGTCCCACTCTGTCTGTTTAGTAACACTATACTGACTGAATGAATGAATAAATGAATGAATGAATGAGAGAAGGATTTGAACATGGAGGAACTGTCTCTAACAGCTGCACTTCCTTTGTTAAATCATTACTTCCCTCACTTCATATACTCCTTTGTTGTCTTTGTTAAAAAAAGATCTCTGTGATTGTTTGTCAATGTTGATCTGTGTACTGGTCCTAGTTTTCTGTTTTGTCCCAGTTCCTATCTCTATAGGACTTTTTAAAACAAAGGTTAATTTTGTTTTTTATTCAGTGGCTTCCTGCACCACTTACGTTCACATTTGTTTCTGCCCTCAGTCTCAAAACATGATGATTACTGTCGAAGCAGGTGGTAATCTTTAGGAAGTTGGAGCTTCAGCTAGTTCATTTATCATGTTTGTGTCTCATGTGCTCACAGGACAAGTCCTCAAGGCCTGGGACATTGGCGTGTTGACCATGCAAAGAGGTGAGGTGTGCACCCTTCTCTGTAAACAAGAGTATGCTTATGGAAACGATGGAAATGCTGGCAAAATTCCTCCCAACTCTTCAGTTCTGTTTGAGGTAGGTGTGCCATTTCAGCCATGATTAAATGATTTGTCCCTCCAGTAGACTCATATCATTTATAAAATTTCTCACGTGTCTGAAGAAGCTGGTGGGGTCATGACATTAACTAGCATTCTGTACAGTTGTACTGTAGTGCGATGTAGGCATTTCTCAGGTTCATTATGTATCCTGTGATAATTAGAATGGAGCTCGAAAAAAATCAAGAGCTGTATTTCCTGTCTGTTTGAGATTATCATTGATATAACTGGCGTTTGGCACAAATTTTAGGCCTCACCAGTTAGTAATGGATAATAATTTACCTGTTGAGTCTATTGGATACTCTAATATGGTTCTCACTTAAATGGTTCTCTGCATCACTAATATGCTGAATTATTTATTTATATATATATATATGTCTTCTTTTTTATATTTATAATTGTGGTAAAGATTGTTGAAATGATATTTTTCATAAATCAGATGGAGCTGCTCAACATTGAAGGAGAATTACTCACAGATGATGGTGGTATCATAAGAAAAATACAGCTCAAAGGAGATGGTTCCAGTAACCCCAATGATGGAGCAACTGTGGATGGTAGATACAATATGTTCTATGGATAATTTTCATTATTATGCCAGTTGAAATTTTAAATGGGAGATGAAATAATGAGGTTAAATCGGGACATATTGTTTACAGTGCACCTGGAGGGGCACTGCGAAGGCAGAATATTTGACTGCAGGGACGTCAGCTTTACAGTTGGTCAAGGCGAGGACAAAGGCGTTCCCCTGGGAGTGGACCGGGCAGTGGACAAGATGCAAAGAGGAGAGTGCTGTTTACTTTACTTAAAACCAAAGTAAGTTACACACTAACCTTGAAATGTGTGCAATGTGTGCTTACCCTATCAATGTTGTTTCTTCAAATCATGAAGTCTTTAAAATATCTACAGAAATCCTGAAAGCCATAACATTTTGGTTAATGCAAACCTTTGAGCATGTGTCAGTTAGAAAGAGCTGCGTCATTGCATTCACATGGATGCAAATTTAGCTTCTTTTGCTGCTCAGATGTAATGGTAGGCCACCTAAACTGAGAGGGGGTGGACGAATTATGGCATTGATCCGGGCTTGTATCTGAGGATCAAATACTTACATGTAATGAGTGAAAAGCAGAGAAGCTGCTAGCATTAGGCTCTGTGAGGAAATTCCAGTAATTTGCTGGATGTATGGGAGACAAAGTTCTGCAAGACAGGCATCGACCTTATCACGCCCGTATCACTCCAATACTGACTCACCTTGGTATGGAAATGCCCACACCTAGTGACGTGGTGAGTGAAGCCGAGTAGAGCTGACTAGGTATAATGAAAAAAAAACATTATAAGCATTAAGAAAGTACGTAGAAATACAGATGAGTAACAGAGACACAAAGCACATGATGCACTTTCTCAAACCATGAAATATCAGTGCCTCATCCCTACACACTCCAACCGTCCCCATCAGTCATGTCAGGCAAAAGTATTACAAAGCTGTATGCTGCTGATTAAATACCAGGAACTCTCTGCACACTAAAAGATGAAAACCTTGAGATCGTGCTAGGAAATGTTCAGCGAACAATTAAAGAAAACCTTTAGAAGAACAAAAGCAACTGAGAAAATCTACACTTGAAAGTGTTTCCACAACTCAGACTTTAAAAAATTCACATTTATCCAAAGCGTGGAAGTGTTGTTGTGAGTCAGAATTAATCAGAGCCAGCCAATTCCACGCAAGCTACCCTATACATCTTTAGAAACTCCACCAAAGAGAAAAAACATTATGGGCTTTCTTCTGTAGCATCTTGTTTAAAGTTCTGAAAGCCATCACACTCCAATGTCTCTTGTAAGTCACATCCCACTTGGATATGGCCTTGAAAATAATATGGTTGAGCTTTAATTGTTTTCTACCGAGATATACACATTTTTATAGATGTAACATGATACATTCTCATCAGTGGTTTCAGAGTAAATGGTTGGTTGCCATATATCTTAAAATGAAGAATAATGTAATACTTTGTCCTGTTTATTATCATTATGATGGACAACTTTGTTGCTTTTACAGGTATGGCTTTGGAAGCAAAGGCAAACCAGAGTACAAAATTGGACCAGACAAAGACGTTTTATATAAAGTAACCCTCAGAGACTTTAAAAGGGTGAGCACTAGCTTTTAATTTTCATGGGTTAGATTACTATTGTTATATTCGATAAGAATAAATTCAGGAGCTGTATAGGGTTGATTTCATTCGAAGATAAACGTATTTTGAGTCAACCTGTTTTCAGACAACTTCTTTAAACGTGAATAAAACAATTTATAACTGGATTTTTGCTCTTTTGGCACAAGGCTAAAGAATCCTGGGAAATGGACTTGAGTGAAAAGCTGGATTTGGCGGTGGGAGTAAAGAATAAAGGGAATCAGTATTTTAAGGTAAACATTTCACACCAGTCTTTCATTAAAATCATTTTCATTGCCTCTATCATCATAATTTGTTTTATCTCCCTTTATTAGGCCGGATTGTACCGACAGGCAGTCATCCAGTACCAGCGCATCATTTCCTGGTTGGAGATGGAGTGTGGTTATGGGCTAGAGCAACTAAAGAAGATAAATGACTTTGTTTTGAGAGCCCACCTCAATTTGGCACTATGTTTCCTGCGGCTTAAGGAGTTCTCACAAGTTGTGGAAAACTGCAACAAGGTGAGCTGTTGGACCCTTCTGACATAACTAGCCCTCATTGGAGCTGCTAAAAACGTGCTTTACACCAGATGTTTGACTGCTACTTCAATACACTGTTTCTTTGTGCGCATGTGGGTGTTTATGTTAGGTGATTGAGCTGGACGACGGTAATGAGAAGGCTCTGTACCGCCGTGGGGAGGCCAGGCTCCTCCGCAACGAGTTCAGCCTGGCCATGGCCGACTTTCAGAGAGTGCTGCAAGTTAACCCCTCAAATCGAGCAGCTCGTGCTCAGATTTCTCACTGCCAGAGCAGGATTAAGGAACATCATGAACAGGACAAGAAGATCTACGCCAACATGTTCCAGAAATTTGCAGAGCAAGATGCCAAGGTCTGTAAACTCACTGTTCTTGTCTAATTATAGTTCAGCTGTCACTCTCTGTTGTTTATGTCCTTTTTGCTTTTCCTCTCCAATTTTTCTTTCCTTTAATTTTTTGTTTTATATGTCTTTTTTAATAATTGTAGTTTTGTCTATTTCATCACATTGAAGTGAAATGAGATTCACACATTCATAACTACTGTAATTTTTCATGAGACTTGAAAACACTTGTGTCCCAACCCACCCACACCCACACACACACACACACACACACACACACACACACACACACACTCATATGCAAAAACTCACATTCAGTATGTAAGATGATATGTAGATAAAGCATGACTCCTTAAGGAAAGATTTTGCTTCTTGGACTTTGGTGAACTTTTAAAAGTGAACCTGACTGAGTTGTTAATCTTTTTTTGTGTTTCTGTTTGGTAAACTATGCTGCCATATTTTGCATATTCAGTGTTATACTGACCCCTAGTGTTAATGGAGATTTTCCCAACTATATTTGAGGATTTCTTTCATTGGTAAAATTATCAAATGTTTGTTTTACAAATGATTTTTTTTACAAGTTATAGACATCATATAATGGACAATTTGATATAAGGTCCATGATTTAATGACATGCAAGAAGAAGTTTCCACTAGATGACAGTAATAACATTAGTTTTATCTAAAACTGTGTCCTTTGAACAGACCGGGAGGACGAAAAGGAGGCGGAATGAAAGTGTGAGGACCAGCATGAACGGTGAAGTGGGCATTAAACGACGGCGGCGGAGTCAGGACCATCCATGGTGACATTTGAAAGGGACAGGACAAAGCTTCCCGCCCAGGGAGCAGAGGCAGGATTGACGTTGAATAAAAAGCGCTCTGCTCCAAACCTTTTCATCCCAAAATTCAGCGTGACCATTCCTGCATACAAAGCGGAGAGTGAGCAGCAGTGTTTGCAAGCCAAACAGCGTTTCCCCACATGAACTGTTGAGCTGCTAGGACATTCCTCCCCGTGGGGATCGTACTACAGATTCACTGAGTGAAGATTGGTGAACACTTCTGGCCCAAGTTTCAGTTGAAAAAAAAAAGATTTCCTCTAAAACACTGAAGAATCCCATATTCTTCATCAATTGTGTAGAGTCGATATGTGCCTCCATAGTGTGTCTTAATCCAAGATAGCACTCTATGGTTTTCAGAACCTTGTATTTGGTATGGAGCCTTTTTAGGGCAGCTGCATGCGTGTATCATGAGGTATTTGGGATTCAGACTTGAAAATTTGCTAATTTTTATATGTGCAATATGTTTTCTGGATGAGAGGAAAAACAAGTCCTAACAATTTCTTCTTTGCCCACAAATTGATGTTAGCTCCCAGTGAATAATCAGTGTGAAGGCATTTACAGAAACACTTTTTTTCTTTAGATTTTGTAGAAATGGATAACTACAATTAAAAACTTTATCCTGTCACTTCAAGAGGATTTCAAGTTATGAATCCCTGATCAAAAGCACATACTACAGGTACCAAAACTGTACAAAAACATTTAAAAAATGTAAAACTGGGGACAAATTTATAATTTACTGTAATCAGTGTTTGGCACCAGTTTTTTCCTTTCCTGTTTTAAAAAAAATCTCTTTGCAGCGGAACCCAAACTTATGTTTGGAGTGGTTACTTCCAGAAAATAATGTAAATTGAGCCCTTTCTTTTTTTTTCCCAAACGTACCAGATAATCATTTACTAAAATAATATACAACTCATACAGTGATGATTAGTTTTTTTCTATTTTATCTACTCAACATGTCGGTCAGAATACATACACAATTTGTTTAACAGAAATAAATCTGGTACTGTAATTAGTCAAACAAACAATGCCAGACATGTGGTGAGTGATAAACCTAGGAGACTGTTTACATTTCAAAAACAGTTGGCAGCTGCAAAAACTTTGATAAGGTTAAAAAAACTGCAAAAGATGAAACATGCTGAATTGAATGTTTGTGCAGCTCATCGTGGTGATGCAGTGGTTAACACTGTAACCTCACAGCAAGAAGGTTCTTGGTCAACACAGGCCTTCTTGTGTAAAGTCTGCTTGTTGTCTCCGCTGGTTTTAATCTTTTTCTTCCCACTGCCTAAAGACTTTTATGTAAGGTTAATTGGTAATTCTAACTAAACCATTATTGTGAGCATGAATGTTTTTTAATGCACCCCATCTCATGTTCCGTGTGAGTTGGAATAGGCCACAGGCCATGACTCACTATGTAGAGTAAAGTCCAAGGGATAAAGCAATTATAGCTGATTAATGGATGAATGTTTACGCTTCAGAGCTTCAATGGAATTTAGAGATTGACAACTCAAACTGTACTTCTTTTTTCAGCTGATGTAGGGAAAGCAGCACAGTTACGAATTCATATCGATAAACCATACAGTGGGTAAACACCTGCAGAAATTTTTCCTCTGCTCAGCGAGAATTCCTATCATAATGGATCCCAAACACAGAAGGATTCCACTCTCACTTTTGTTTCTGACAAGGCTTTGATCAGAAAGTCTATGGATAATTTTGAATGTCTGGTGTTGTGATTATCTACTTGGTGAAACTCCTTTGCAGTGACTCTGTCTCAGCCCTGAAACTGGTCATTCTCTACTTCATATTCGATCAATTTTTTTTCTTTTTCCACGTGTGTATATGTCAGTGTGGTGGACAACATTGCACTTTGGTAGCTGTCAAGTCGACACTGTCATCTTTTCATGTAACGTCCAGATAAAATCTGGACAATAATATTGAGATGTGTTATAAACATGGGTTTGTTCAGAATGAAAACCTTTTGCTGTCTTAAATATTTAGCGTAAAAAAGAAAGTGACAACAGTGTGTGAGTGTGCGTGTCGACATAAAATGTTGTATGTTTGCAAGGTTTTTTAACCGCTTGTTGCTAAATGTTTTCAATTGCTGCTGCCTCTAAACATTCAAATATTTTGTACATTGTAACTGAGCATGAAGTACTTTTTCTAGCCATTAAAAAGTGTAGTCAACGATTTACAGACTGTTTTTCCCACCTGTCAATTGTAACTATAAGTCAAATGTTTCCAGGTGTCTTAGTGCTGCATTCGTTGTTTTATTGAGAATAGGGGTTCCAAATGCAATTTTCATCAATAAGCAAGAAGAAAATGCAGCCGGGTAGTATAATGGGTTTCATGTGAGATAGTTTTAATCAGAACTGAAACTTTCTGTCATTAAAACTTGTTTACGTGTATTCAGACGATCGTTGTCCTGTAAAGAAATGATCGATGCTTCAAAACGGCTATTATGCAAAAGAAATATTTTCAGACAAACAGCTCATGTGTTTGCTTTGTTCATGTTGTTTTTACACAAATCACACACACAAGCACACACACACCCTGACCAAGCCTTTGCAAACTGTGTCGGGTTAAGACAGGTTGAGACACTACGGCAAATATCTAGACCACTGGTCAGCGAGGGGCTGCTGTCCTGCACGTTTCAACACACCTGACTCAAACCCGTAAAACCACTGGAAGACTTGTGAAGAACATAATCATTTGAGTTTAAGATCCCTGCTCCATGGTCATCCTGAGCATTTTCGACCACTTGGGGGCAGTAGAAACTAGTTATGAGAATATCCAATAACCCCCACACATCAGCACATCTTGGTAACTGGTTGTTGCATCTCCCATGAGGTGAATGTATTTTTTATATTGTCTTACTTTCTGGAGCTTACTCCAGCAGTCTTTGGGTGAGAAGTGGGATAGATTCTGTACAGGTTGCCACAAGGCCAACAAGCTGGAGCTACAGATTCAGACCTTGAGGGGATTATGTTTCCGTGTAGAAATTTGTTTCTTAACAAAAAAAAGACGTTTAGGATATATTCTGAAGGACATTGCTACAAACAATATCATGTGGCAGCTAGTGAAAACAACATATTTCATATGTAAAAGATGTAGACGAGGACAAGATGTTAATCTCACCTCTTTCTCTAGTGGCTTGCAAAATTACAAATAAAAGTTGCCCTGCACTGTCCAGTCCAAAAATTTGCACTGCCAAACAGTATTAGCACCCAGGCTACCACTTTCCTTTAAAAATTCTAATTGAATTTAAATCAAAGGCCTCAAACTTGGTAAGAATACCACAAACTTTTTACACAGTGTGTTTATTTAAAAGCAGGTAATTACATATATTCTTAGTGGGTTCTCTACAGTGAACCGTACTCAGTAATTCAGGAGAATTCAATGCATTATAATACAGAATGGAACACAATACAGTCGTGTTGGTATGGAAATAAACAAATGAAAAAGTGGCAACAGTCCTGCTACTTAGTTACAGTTTAAAAGTAGCTATAGGCACTTACTGACAATATATCTGTAAATAGGATATCGTGGTGGCTCAAAGGTCACAGTGCTGTCAGCAAACCACAGTAAAAATGCTCCAAATAGTCTAAAGGTGTCACAGTTCATTCATTCATACTTTAACTTATCTCTAGTAGATCACTGTTACGTACAATTTATAAATGATTTATGAAGAGTTTTTATACTGTGAAGCACTGATTCTCTTTCAACAGTTGAGCCAACTAAGCTAGAAGAAAATGGGACACGTAAACAGTTGGCAAAAAGTTCATGATTAAAAGACAGGTATAATCTTTAAAACATTAAAACATTGACATGTACACCATAACAATCTTGACAGTTCAATTAAACAGAAACATGGCTGAATATACTGTTTGTTCTAGGTATAGGCTGTGGTAATAATGGTTAATAGGGAACTGAATATTATCATTATTGATAACAAACACACATTTTCACAGTTTCTGCCATCTATTGATAATGGAAATGAGAGTGTTTCCTAAACATAAAAAATGGCATGTTACAGCATTTGTATGTCAAACCATTGTGTTATGGGAATTCTTTGAAAAACGGATAAAGTTCAAATACAGAAAAAAGAAGAAAAGATTAAGTTAGTGTTTAAAATGCAATATATTAATTCAACTGTGGGGGCCATCAGTTTAGCAAAAATGTAAATTTTCATTCAAATCTTTCAAAATATTAAATGGTGGAGAAGCTAATGCTGATCAACATTTCATATGTGACTATATACATAAGTATGTAGTCACCCTCTGTATAACGACCAACATTAAAATGCTGGAAGACATGGTGACTCAACAGCTGAGCGCACAATATCTAGGCGTCACGCTAATTGTTCTCCTCAATTTATGACACCGTAAGGCGAAAGTGACACTGCTGATTGATGTATTCTGATGTATGGCTTTATGACTGAACGTTATGCAACCTTGGCCACGTACCACAAAGTGAGACTGACTGATTATCGACACAGGATTCTCTCAGGAATAGCTGTACAAAGTTTACAATAAGGCATCAGGTGATGCAATTCTATGCATTCTTTTTAGCAGCATGTGTAACAAAAACAGGCCAGCAGTTGCTTTTGTTGTGTTAAATTGGCAAATTATTTTTACTGTGCGGCACATAAGAAAAGGGTTACAAATAATAATAATTAATAATAACAAATCTCATAAGTGCAATATAAATCTATTTCACAAATTATTGCACTTTCTAAGTGTAACATTCCACTTTCCTCTGGTCTCTTGCTTTCATACGCATGTCATATTCACACTGCTCCTCATTTTAGAACCGTATGAAACAGAAACATCAAATAGATGTCCGTTTTCTTGCAAAGAAGAAACAAATTTCTTATTTTACAATGCAAAAACATAATTGTCACCATAATGGCCACAAAAAATATGCAAGGGTGGGGAGGCAGGGTGAGAGGTAGGGGTCTCCTCTAAATCAGTTGACAAAAATATTGCAACTGATAAATGTCAGATTTCCATGTTGATACAATATTCCAGTATGAGTTTGCACTATTATCATAAGCCAAGATTGCACCTCAGACACCCCACTCAGCTGTGAAAGTCTTGAATACACTTTCACCCTAGCTTCACTGTGGGTTAAAAGCAAAAAAAAAAATCTACCAACCAGTGCTGATCTGTCCTAAACCATCCATCTATTATTTATGCTGGAGCCTTTCCCATCGGCCATTGGGCGAGAGACTGGCTGCCATTCGACGACAGGACTACACGGACTGTGCGCACTCATTCACTCCTACAGGCAATTTAGGGTCCCCAATTGACCTAACATGCATGTAAGAAGCCATGATTCGAACTGCGAGCCTTTTCACTGTGGGGAAAAGATGCTAACTAACGCACCACCTCTCAGAATCTCAATAATAAAACATTCAACCCAATCGCTCAAAGTCATGTGGACTATACCAAAAGCGATTAACATTAAATGAGTAAAATGGTATCTGACAGATTATGAGTGAATGATAATGCAGATAGTACTAACAATAACAAAGATAGTACTAACAATAATACCAATAATATATAAGACATGAATAATGAGAAATGTTCAAAACTAAAACAAAAGTTTTGCTGTACAACGAAATACAAAAATGAATGAATCCCTGGTTTCCTAAAACATATTTCTATTTGAAAGTTGCTCAGCAATGCCCAATTTGAAAAAAACTATTTTTGTATTTGCACATTCATCTATCTACACATAACATAATGCAGACCTGAAATGATAGAAACATTGCTCAGTTAAAAAAATACTTTCCCTCTATGGGGTCTGATATAAAAGACAGATTTTTTTAATGACTATTGACAAAAATGATTAGTGGTGAAGGTTTAGGCATGCCAAAAACATAAAACAAAACAAATCTATGAGTTATAAGCAGCTGGTGACGAGTGGCTCAACTTCTCCCTCAGACATTCCAGACATTGGTCTAAACACCTAGTGATTTGGAGATGCTTCTACAAAGCTTGCTGTAGAATCCCTTGATGGATTGATGCTTATTCTTATGTTTCTATGGTGTTCAACACATCTGACACTTTGTCAGATCATATTCTCGCTACATTGGGGCAAGGTTAGCAGTTCTAAGTTGTTCTTCTCTGATTTGGTCACGGGAAGGTCTCGAGACGGTGTGCATAAGACAGAGATCCTCTAAGAGAGAGAAATACCGGTTTCAATAAAAGACTTAAACTCAAAACTCTTTTTAAAACGATGTGTTGTCACGACGACAGTTTACCTGCTGCAGTGAACCAGGAGTGATGTAAAGATTGTACAGCATCCGAAGAGGAACAAAGAGGGTTGAGGAGAGCGTGAACCACCAGCCGAGGGCGTAACCCCACCAAGGATACTCGATTGTATTGTTGAACTTCAGAGGAGTGTATTTAACCAAAGAGAAAACAAATGTGCCCTGGAAGTAAATGTAGAAAAACTAAATTACTCATCCATCAGATGTGACGTATTGTTTAATAAATGTGTTTTTATGGCAAAATGTATGTTTGTAGCATTAACCTTAACTAATTTTTATTCAAACTCACCACACAAATCACAGGTGTGACATATTTCAAACAGTATTTAATTAAGGGCAGGGGCCTGTATCCAATCATGTCCTCTATGATGTCATAAAACCTGTCAGCGCCTGTAAATAAGCCAAAAATGAAAAAGTTAAGACCATGACAAGTCATTGAGAAGAAGCCATGTGCATTCCTCGTTTTGATCAACTCACCATATACCCATCCAATACACACAGACTGCAGAATGGCAAAGAGTAGCAAAGTCATTCCGCTGCAGGAATAGTAGTCAAAGACCTGAAATATGTACAATCCACCCTGTGTGGGAGAAGCAGCTTTAGCGTTTTCATTTGTCATCATCAGGAAATGGTAGTTTCTCTCTTAATCTTACTTCTGTCACCATCACAAGACCGATGCAGAAACTGAAGACACATATGGCAAGCAGGAGGAGTTTACGTCGATGGCCAACGTGGAAGAAAGGAGGGTTCAAGTCAGAGATAGCTGTTGCTATAGCTTCCAGGCCCACAAACTGAAAAACAGACATCTCTGTCAAATTTCCTCCAACAGGCCAAGTCTGGAAAAATCTAGGAGAAAAATTCCACTGTGTCCAAATGAATTATTTCATTAGATTTGAATGATTTATTGGTTTCGGGTTAGTTTGTGCTTAGCCTGTACTGGTGGTATGATGTTGGCTGACCTACGGTTGACATCCTTTCCAAGCAGATGCACAGTGATGCACCACTCGCCTTTTTGTAAGCCGAGTTTAATCCACGCTTATTTAATAGTGATCAACTAGCCTTGATTTTTTCCGGTTTGATGAGTGCAAATTGAAAACAGAAAAAGAAACCAAATAAAGAAGCCTACCTCACTGTCCAGTCCAAGCAGGATTATCATAATAAAAAAGAATATTGCCCATATTTGGGGAAATGGCATCATAGCAACTGCTCGCGGATAGGCAATGAATGCCAAGCCAGGCCCTGCAAAGAAGAACATTCATATCTAATAAACTTCTATTCATTGAGACTAAAATTTCCTTCTTTTATCACAAAATAGTCTTTAATCTATTTTCCAAAATATTGATTTAAAAACTCACCTGACTCTGCAACTTTTGATATGTCTGTGTTCTGCTCATAAGCCATGAACCCAAGAGCAGAGAAGATGGCAAAACCCGCCACAAAACTGGTTCCACTGTTCAAAAGGCACAAATATACACAATCCCTACGGATAGACAAACCAAAGTCACAATCTGTTTGACATCACCTTTACATGTGTTTATTGCATTCAAAGGCTGTTTCTATTGTGCAATTTTACCTGTAGCAGTTGTTGTTGTACTTATTGTAGCTGCCAAGTGCAACTAGGCATCCAATACAAATAGCATAAGAATAGAATATTTGAGTGCCGGCATCCATCCACACCTGCAAGATTGACGAAGGTCTATTTTTTTTCCATCCACAATAAATTACATATGAAACAACTTGCATTGTGTGTCACTATATGCAATGAATTTTGATGGGACATCTGATAATGTTTTACACGACTGTTAACCATTGTGACATCTGTAAAGAAATCATTTTCAAAATTGGGACCATGGAAAACTAAAAATGAGTAACTTATATATCCAGTGACCTGACGGCTGATTTTAATAATTAAAATCTGTAAGTAGCTCAGTGAGCCATATTTACTGTACGTACTGTTCACCATCAGTGTGCTCTAACGGTGCAATAACCTTGCATCAAACGCATTAAATGTATACAAACTAAAGACTATCAAATGAATAAGAAATTTCCCCATTTGATGAAAACTATTATCTCTTTTTTAAAATAATGGCAGCAGCACATCTTAAAATGATATTTGCCTGACCACAGAACTCATTCTTTGACTTGTGTTTTTTTTTTACAGCTCTTTGAACTGTGCACATAGACAAAAAATGTCCAATAGATTAGTGAAGAAGAAAAATGTGTTTATACCTGTGGATCACTTAGCCGGGAAGGATCTGGGTAAAGATAAAACTTGATCCCATCGAGGGCCCCTGGTAGTGTGAGTCCACGAATAAGCAGCACAGTTAGCATCAGATATGGAAATGTAGCGGTAACGTAAACTACCTGGGAAGGAGCCATGGACAGGTTGGGTCAGAGGAACAATTGTGAATACAGGCGTTGCCATGACATCTGTTGTGTGATCAGATGTCTATGTAAAATAATGACAATTTAGTCTATTTTCTCAGATTTAGTGTACCTGGGTATGTAAGCACAGTCTCTATGCTTCACAACAATGGCTTTTCTTTGAGTGCAGAATACATATAAACGGGGTAATACACAACTTGGGGAAAATACTCTATCAATAGCTTTGGTTAAGTAACTACGTCAAATGCTCCTCTTTGTAGGAGTATATGTTTTAATGTTGTGTTCTGTGTAGGAAGAGCTCAAACTTTGTTTACTCAAAAACAGAGACACATCAATGTTCCTGCGTGAGTTGTGTGTGAGTTTATGACATGAAAAAGGAGGTTATGAGCAGGAATGAAGCAGACAGCGGGAGACAGGTTATTAGATATTGCAATTTTAACACAAAATAACCAATTAAGCTTCAGAGTATCATCTTCAGATTGTTAGTCTTATAGAAAGTAACAGTCAAGGACTGTGGAGGGGGAAGGAAGGGAAAAAGAGAGGGATTATATAATTACTGCTCAGACTTTGTTTTGAAATGGCATTAAAAAGCACATGCTCTTTATAAATATAATTCCTTTGTTTCACCAGAACTTTGAATGAAGGATCTAGAAGCAGCAGGTTTTTGGGTTATAGGACAAAATAATAATCAACGGGAAGCCATAGTCAGATATGTTTACATCTGAGGAAAAACCATTACCGCTTACCCATGATCTTTTCACAAACACATCCTGTTCTGAATGCATTTTCGAGCTCTAATGGCCATGACATCTCGGAAAGTGATAAAATTGGAATGGAATGTTTTGTTTACAACATCAAAGATGATAAACGCATGGCTTACCTTCCCCGTAGACTTCACTCCTTTCCATACACAAAAGTAACAGATGATCCAGGACAGTAGAAGACAAAGAACCAGCTCCCACCGTAAACTGCCCAATTCATTGATGCTCCCTGTGATGTTCAGAACTCTTCTCCTGCAAACAGTTACATCAGGCTCGTTGAATGCATCTGAATATAAAGGAATCTGATAAGGATTCATGAATATTTTTACTCACTCCCAAAACTCTTTCACTGGTGATGTTGCATTTTCAACAACAGTTCCGTTAAAACCAGGCATCCGATCAAACTCTACACAAGTCTCTGAAATATACACAATATTTTGAGTACGCTTTTTAAAGGAAAATTTACATATTTCTTAAAGCCTGTCAAAATTATTCTAGTGTAGCATTAGTTATTCTGCTCCTGTGAGATGTATTTATTGTAGCCTCCTCTTAAGACCAATAATGTATTTCAAGATAACAGTGAGAACGTAGTCACATTAAAATAATATATAATATAAACTAAACTTCCTAATGTTTGCATGTTAACCAGTTACCAAGTCAATACCCACATTATCCAAATCTGCCTTTGAACATTGTGAAATTGTATGAATAAGTTGTTCCTTTGCCAATATAATTAAGTATTCAACATGATAGGTCACATGTTTGGTTATTCATGTTGAAAAACTTTGGCACTAAATTATTTTTATCCACAAACCTTAAACAAGTTACAACACAGTTGTTTGCAGTTTGAAGTGTGCGTTGGACTACACCTCTGAAGCCATTATTGAGGTATTTAAGATTGAGCAACCATGGATCTAATGTGTTGCTCAAGATAGACAAAATCCTAATCATGAGTGTTGAGTGGGTCCAGAGGGGCACTGGCTCTAGCTAAGATCTGACCACTCCCTAGAAACAAACAACAGAAACCAAAAGTGCACCACAAGAGTGGATTGAAGAAAAACTAAACAAATCAAAGAAGAAGGAATGTTAACGGGGTGCATTCAACCACATGAGAAAGGAAATAATTATCCTAAAGAAAAAAAAAAATGCCATGTAAAAAGAAGACATGTCAGTGTAAAAAAATAGTCATCAAGATCATGGTAATCCTAAAAGTTTGAGTAAAGGCAACTGGCAACAGTTCAGAACTGAACCTTTTGGATTAGAGGTGAAATGTCTTTAAGATCCAAGAAGAAGTCCAGGTACCTTTACATAAACTCTGAGGATAACAGAAAGGAAAGATCACACACACATCCCCATTCACGGAACTGCAGTTTGTTGCACAAGCTGCCTCTTGTGTAGGAACATGTTCGTTAACACAAGGTGCGAGCTGTCGATGAAGACATTTAGAGCAAACTGAGTTTTTAAAAAAAAAAAGTGATACAAAAAAAATGGTTGCTGAAAATAAACACTCGACAGAGCCCACAACACCAAATGAGTGGTTTGTTTTTCTTCTTGCCTAAGCAAGTATGGGTCCTACCTGTGTTCCAGCTGTTTTTGCAGCTGGCCCAGGGAAGTTCAGAGTTGAAGGAGGAGAAGAGATACAGGAATGCCCAGGCTAATATGACAATGTAATAAATACTGGAGTACAAAACAACCACTTGACTGCCATAACCCAACCCTGCAAGTACAAACAAAAAACAAAAAACTAAATGAAACACAAAACAAACAAATACAAATGTGTAAGATATGATTCATACAGCAAGTAATGCTAGCTGACTGATTTACATTTCTATCAGCTAATAGGTGTTATTTCAGTATTTGCTTTGAAACTTTTTGAACTGTATGGAATAATTTTTTTTTTAAAATATACACAATGGGAAATCCGTCAGTGTTCCCTTTGCTGCTACATGAATTATAACAATTGGACAAGCAACTTTGTGAGAGTACAACAGATTACTTATAATCTCAAATTCTTTTAAGAATCAACACCCAATAATACTCAGCTATTTTCACACAAGTCATTTTCACTGGGTTCCTTTTAGATAAATATGAAGACATGAAAAATATTCAGCTTCCTTATATTATTATAAGTGTTATTTTCTAATTGTATTTTTGAAAAAATAAGTAATATATGATGTATATTGAACATATTTAAATAATTAGTTCTGTTTTTAAATGGCACTCATGTAACAGTTAGATGACAAAGGTACTGCCTGGATAAGTACAATTGGTTTTGTAATTAATCTTAGTGTAATCACAGCAAAGAGAGCTGGCAACATATGTATCTGAGGTTGGATTATCTATATTGGTTAACTCAGACAGTGTCCAGATTATTTGTCATTGGGATTGCTTTCTTCCAAAAGTTCTTCACTGTTCCACTAACATACATTTACTACGGACAAGAGTCCATGAAGATAAAGTTGGAGGTCATGTATTTGTTAAAATGTTAAAACAAAACATGAGGCGCAAAAAAAAGGGGGAGGTAATGCTTCTTTGGTTGAGGGTTTAAGATGAGGCAGTATTGAGCCAAAGAAAGTCACGTCAACCCAAAAATGCTAATTGGATTCCTATTTTAATGGCAAAAGCATCTGAGAAAGGAAACTTGATGAACTTCCTCTTTAAACACTCTTAAAATAACCATTTAGTTAACCAGTTCCCTTTACCAGAAATTCAGTTACTGCATATATGTTTATATCAACATATGCTTTGTGCTGACCTCATCATTTAATCGTTTAATGATACTGTATCAATTACATGTCCATGTAGTCAAAATGCTTGTCCATGCGAGGGTGGGGGGATTCCTTCATGAAGTCACATTTCCTGGTTTATAAATGTCTTCTGTCTTTAGGTCATTTAAGTCAATTAGAAGTTATTTGTCCTTACCGTCAAATAGTGGACATATTTTTCTCCAGCAGGTGATACTTCCCTGCTTGGTATACTGGCCGAGAGACGTCTCCAGGAGGAACAAGGGGATGCCACAGGAGAAGAGGAAGAGTGTGTAGGGGATGAAGAATACCCCTAAAGAAAATCAAATGTTCCAGCAAATATGCTGGTGTTACATGACATTTCTTTGTGAAAGACAAGAGGTGTTGTGAAGCCTGTGTTTTCTTTGTGGTAATGAAACTCACCTCCTCCGTTTTTGTAGCAGAGGTAAGGAAACCGCCACACATTTCCAAGGCCTATAATCTGGCCTGCCACAGCTAAGAGGAACTCAATTTTGCTTGACCACTGTCCTCTGAGGGGCGCGGAATGGATTGTGCCCACATCCAGCTTGAATGTGTGATCTGGACCATGCATCTTATCCATCGTGCTGTGAGGAGAAGACATGTTCCCTTAAATCCAACAATGGTGAGTGATTTCCCCTGAGCGCAGCATAGATATTAAATGCTAATTTAAATACTAAATATTAAATACTAATTTAAAACAAGCATGTTGGCTAGTGTAGCCAGTAGAGTCAGACAGTGTACATTTCCATCAGTCTGTATGGACTATGCAGAGAAGTCTACTTCCCCTTTTGCCTTCAGTGAAGCGTTGTACAGTATTATCGCCCCAGGTACAAATGACAACAGTGGATGTGAGCTAACACCAGATGTCAGTGACACCGGTCAATGACGATAAAGTATGATCATAATCATGTGGTACATAAAAAGAACGGGGCAAAAAGAGGATCTGCGAAGTCCATTCAGCTCAGTTTGAGAATGCCTGAAACTGAATTTCTACACATGTGAGACTCTGAACAGGGAGGTTTTCTGCTGTAGGTCTTGTGTTTCTCTTCAGCTTTATAAACCACATAAATAGAGGCGTACATAACATAACATTGAATGATAACCAGATCAAAGTTTGGTTTGAAATAATGATCTTATTCTACATGTTACTGTGATAGATATTTGAAAAAATGTAATGTTAAAGTTTAAACATTTAATGAGATATTGCCCATATTCATTTGAAAGCAGCATTCCATGAAAAAAATGTCTTTCATTATTTATCATCTCCTGTTAATTTACCAGTAGTCTTTAAATGTATGTGGCCAAGTATACCAGTGGCTGGACGTTTCCCTTTGAAATTTAGTCGAATCATACCCTGAGAAGATTTTGGCTGCTGGGTGTTTTTGTTGGTTTTTGCAGTTCATGATACACCGAACACCTTCATATAGGGAAGGATCTGGACAGGGCCGGCCCAGCACCAAACTGTGGATATCCTGAAGTTACCAGTTACTCATGCATCCTGTTACTATGGGAAATACAGAATTTGAATGGTCCTTTTCCTCTAGAGAAGTGCCATAATTTCTAAATAAGAGTTCCAGGCTTTGATTTGTCATATGACAGTTTTCTATTTAGCCTCAGTCTATTTTAAATGAACTTTGGCCCAGAGAACATGGCATTATTTCAGGGTCATGTTCACATAAGGCTTCCTCTTGGCCCGATAGTGCTTTAGCCTGCATTTGCAGATGAGATGGCGTTTTACAGGCAATGGTTTCTATGACAGAATCATGCTACAACATGCTTCTACAACATTCTACAACTCCAAACTTGTTTGAGACTTGCAGCTAATATCCGTTTTCAAGATGAGAAGAATCAACATTATATGGAGCATTTTTTTCATTTAGTTTTTTTTTTTGCTTACAGTGTTATGTTTGTCAATCTAATTGCTGTGGGAAGTCCAGAAAAAGTTGGTGTTTCTTCATTCAAAGGTTCCATAAAAAGAGTCTTTCTTCCATAGAGAACACATTTAAGAGATAGTTAAATTTGACCGAATGATGGTTTGGGACTGTGCTGCTGCACAAACCTCAGTAGGTAATAAGTTAGTTTGAAAATATTAAACTATATCTTGCATTTGCTGTTGTACGTAGTTTTACAACATTAGTTCTCATAAAGATCTGAGTCTCAATTCATAAGGTTCCCCGCATTAACGCTATAAGGCTGTTACACTGCTGCAAAACCCTACAAAGTCGCAGGGTGTAGTAAATGCCTCATGTTTACCATCTCTTCTGTTCATCAATGGCGTACATGTTATCCTTAGAGACAACAGTCTGTTGAAAGATGGTCATTTACCATGAGTCTCATTCATTAATATTTGCAACAATGACAGCGGCAAACCCAGAGCAGAGAAGTGCTGAATGACACAGGAACCCTCAAACAGAGGTAAACAACCTGTTATCCAAACATTAGTCACTTTTCACAGGGATTGCTGAACTATCCTTGGATTGAATTATGTCAGCGAAACTCATGAAATGTGTTCTCTAAGGTTACACTGACTTCTGACCTTTGAGCAAAAATAAAATCAGTTCACCCTTGAATCCGATTAAATGTTTCTGCAAATTTGATTAGACTCCCACATAGCTGGCAAAGGATTATGCATTCAGGAGGACGAGAGATATGCTCCCCTTTGTGTACAACAACTCAAACCTAGGGTGTCATAAATGATCATAATGTGCTGAACGATCTAGCTGCTTATTAATTTTGTATTATGTAATCCTATTATAGGACACTAACCAGATAGCTGTGGAATTATAGTTTTCTACAGTATGTATGATCCTATGTGGCTTTGTTAATCACTGAGCCATTAAAGGATGCTGGAAGTAAAGAAGAAAGATTTTCCTCCACAGTCAATCGACTTTTATGGGAGGGGTTCAGGTAGAGTAAATATGATAGTGGACCATTAAAAAAAAAGGACTTGCAAAAACAGGTTGGACATATAGGAATGATATTGACAAGGTGATGAGACTCAGGGCTGTCAGCAGCAGGTGGTTCACCATTCATTGTGTATGCCTGACTTCTATAAGCATCCCAGAAATGTGGTAGGACGGGTCTATTCATTTAATCTCTCTCTATCATCTGCAGAGAAGAAGAAAAATACATTTTCTGTATTTGCATTACTGTACATCAAGTTCAAGAGATGTATTACCTTTATGATTTCAGATGTTGCCATGAAGCAAATTTAGAGTCTGTATTGTATGAATAGAATAACATGCCATCCTTCCTGTTAGAGCAGTTTGAATGAGGAAATATGTTTAATAAATCTTATAGGATACTCCATTCAAATATTTGATCAAAGTTCAGATCAAAGTTTTGCTATGAGTGTTTGAGTTCTGCAAACATGGCAAGCACAAACAGAGCAGCCTGAGGTGTTACTCTAAACAAGGGAAATAGCTTCCCTCACTGCAGCGTAGCCGGTAACCTTTGGCCTACTTATTACAGCTATGAGCGCCAAGCCTAAACCCAGCTTTGAGCTGAGTGGGTACCATTTGTTTCCCTTTTTAGAAAAGTGAACAGCTTGTGTGAACTTGAAAAATATAGAAACACAGATATAAATGTACACACACACACACACACACACACACACAGATAAAGCATCCCCTGACATTAAGGAAATAGGAAGAGTACCTGAGAAAGATGCCTCACGACAGTAGTGTTTGGCTGTTTTATTCATCCATTCCAAGTGAATCTATCTGGTGCCTTTAGAGTGAAATGCTGATCTAGATCCTCTGCTCTCACCGGGACAAGTGTTATTCCCAGCTCTGACAACGACAGAGTCCATGAGTTTAGGTTTGAGAGAGCTGAGTGGTGTGACAATGACTGAGAGCGAAAGAGCAAAAAGGACAGAGAGAGAAGGGGGTGGGGTGTTTCTGAACGATTAGCTTAAGGCGGGACTCTTCTACCAGGCCACATGGTCTCAGTGTAAAGGAGAGGGTTTGCACATTAGCCATGCTGGCTGAGTGGCTGTAAATTAGCCTTTGTTTTGCAGGTTGTCAGTGCATTCTCCACCCCGTTTCCTCTCTGAACCCTGCAACTTTATGACTCTTTGACATTCTCCTTAGTGCCACCACAAGGTGAACAAGGGGAACATTACGTGAAGTGATCCCTCAAGTTTCAATATATGGCAGAGAGGAGACAAACTGGGCCTGCCCGGCAGTGTGGTGGTTAGCACATAACCTTTGGTCTTTTAAACCAGTGTTTCTCAACCCTGGTCCTCAGGGAACACAGTCCTGCATGTTCTCCAAGTTCCCCTACTCCAGCACACCTGATTCACAAGAATGGATCTTTATGAGCCATCTGCAGAACTTAAAGAGCTGAGGAGCTTTCCCATTTTTTATTTTACAAATGTGTTTCCATAACAACATGAACTTCCTGCCAACACTACGGAAGCCTAGTTTATCGGCAAAATATGTCTAACTCAGAATTTACTGATAAACAAACAAATAAGAACAGAAATATGTCTTAAACTTGTAATAATAAATTCGACTTATACTTTCTACAAATGAGGCTTACAGGTGTATATAGGGAATGAGTAAAGAAACTTTTTATTTGACAACCATTTTCTTCAGCTGGTCAGCAGAGCTGCAACGGGCTGATTGGACCACAGTGGAGGGTCCATTCCCGCGCTGCTGGTGCCAGGTCATGATACAGACACAACCTCCTCACAGTCAGGTCAAGCTCATTAATAGCACAATAGCGCGAAATGCCAGCCTCAACAGAGAGAGAATATGACACACAGACAAACTGCAGGGATTTACAAAAAATGTATGTGTTAGGGCACAGTGCAGTGCACCAAACCAAAATGAGAATAGCTGGACTGGTGCTGAGACTCGATGTCATTTGGCCGGGATCATGCTGAATTCCAAAGACATTCCAAAACACGCCAACGGACCAGCTGCACTAGGACACAAACTGCCTCTCAAAGTCAAGGAAGAATTCTACAATGCTGCATTTCTACTAAACATTTCTGCATTTTTACTCCAATAGAAACTGCATAGGTTTATGTTGGAAATATATTTCAGGAAAACAGAATATTTCTCGGTCTCAAATATTTTTCCTCCATTTTTATAACCTATTAAATCTTCTTTAACTCAAGCTAACTGCATGTGCTGTGTCAAAGAGGAATAAAAGAGGCAGAGAATAATAAGCGGCTGCATGTACAAGAGTGTTTTCTAATGCTAATGGTTTAACCCTTTGACATTAAAACACAGGCACTCCTGCAGGTAATATCAAATAATCAATTCACCAAACTCACAAGGAAGCCAGAGTTCCTGAGACAAACACGCAAACTCCACACAGAAAGGTCACCAGCTCCTGGGGATTCAAACCAGAAAGCCTTTTGTTGTGAGGCGATGGCACTAACCTCCACACACACCACACCACACCGTGCAGCTACGTTACACAAGCAGACACACTGAACAAAAAGCATGGACTGAAACGCAGCTTCTTAGTGGTACTTGGTAAGGAACTAATGCAGTCCACTGAAGGGTAGATCACATCTTTTCTGAGCAAAACAAGCAGAAATAAATCAGGTAAAATCTCCCTGTTGATGAGTTATGGAGATCCTCTGAGTAATGGAATATTTTTTAATAAAACAACAGACATTGTTTACTGGCTTGTTTTAATGCTATTTAGAGACAATTCCTTGCATGAACATCTTGTGGACTCACCTAATGTCAGAATCCAAAGTTTCTTGGCGCTCTGGGAGAGCTTTTGACATGATATCAGGTTTTTGCATCTGAAAACACTTGATAGTACTCTCTGTGCCTGGCAAGTGATGTCGGTCTACGAATGTCCAGCCGAAGAGTTTTCAAAACGCAGAGCAGAAACCAGTAGTTGTTGTACAAGTTGTAAATTAATAATCTTTGGCAATCTCCTTCAAAGTGACGCTCAACCCAGGTTTACTAGGGTCCAAAGAAACACAGCTGTCTCCCTCGATAGGAGGCTGTTCTTATGGAACATAAGATCAAGGGGTAAAAAAAAAAAAAAAAAAAAAAAAAAAAAGAACATAAGATCAACACAATCTGAGTAGCATGGGAAATTTGACATTTTCTAATATTACTTTACAAATTTGTAATTTTGATTTATGCCTCTCATGTGTTATGTACTGTATATAACACATATATAATATTTTCAATTATTATGGCGAGCAACTGAAACATTACTACACAAATAGTTGCCTCAGTCCATATGACAACATGGAATGTCCTTTTCAGAGCAAGTCTATTCAGCAATTGTCTTATCTTACAATCTAGGACTGTGTGTTTTGTCATGTCTCAGATTTAAAACGGTACACGATGTCAGTTATTCTTGACGGTTACTGAGAAAAACTGGGTAAATAGAAATTAATATTTCATGAGCAAAAAGAGTAAACAACACATTATGAACATGCTAAGCTTACATTAGCCCAATCTACTCATGTCATGCATTCACCTGTAGTTCACCAACTACATTCAGACTAGCTAGTGACCTCTAGTGGTCATTAAGAAAGATGTCTTGTCTCAAGTAGTATTTCCTGACCATGATCTTAAAACAGGGGTGGGCATCCCGGGGCCTTGAGGGCCGGCAGACTTTAGAGGTTTCCCCGCTTCTAAACGCATTGTCTATGAATAAGATGGGGAGAAGCGGGAAAACCTCTGAAACCTGCTGGACAGCGGCCCTTGAGGCCTGGAGTTGCCTGCCCCTGTCCTAAACGCACACTGTCCTACATCTTTTCCAAATTGTCCTGCTCCTGCACACCTGTTTCTAATAAATGGGACTGCTCCTCAGCTCTTCAATCTCTGCGGACGGCTGATGGAGACCCATTCATTTGAACCAGGTATAATGGAGAGGGAAACCTGGAGAACACGCAGGACTGTGTGCATTGAGGACCAGGGTCAGGAAACCCTACTCTAGAAGAAAGAAACAGGGTGTTTTGATTTAGCTAATCAGATTTCCTTCTTCTACAAGAAGAAAATCAGTTGTTACTGTGTATATACAGTAACAGAAACAAAAACAGCAAGTTTTGGGATGAGAAAATTATGCGTTTGTACTTGAAATGGCTGTGTTTAGTTCTGTTTCATTAAATGGACCAACATTTTCCTTATGCTAACCTTTTTTTCCTGTTCTGTAAACTTGAGCAACATACCAGTGTATATTGTTTTTCTAGTTTTTCCATAATTTTACAAAAACAAAATTTCAGTCTGTAAATAATGAAACACTGGGTTTACGGATAATAACAGTGAACAAAATACTTTTGTGAATTAAAAAGTAAAAAAGCGCAGCTTACACACATGAATGTATTGAATTTGAATAGAAGATCCTCCATTACAAAATAAAACTTTGATTAACATATGGGAGAGTTAAAAAACGGTAACTATTGAATATCCCACATATCATTTTACTTTCAGCTCACAGTTTTCAGCTTAGCTTTCTTAAAAATGTAGGGGCTTGTATGAAATTTGTGTGTGTAAAATAATTATTTTGTCCATCTACAAGGTTTCAAGGGCCTATTCATAAACTCATTTTATTTGTCAGTGAAATAAATATTTACATAATAGGACACAACCTGATGCCAAATTCAACTGAGGTCTTTTTGTTCATATCCTCACAGGGAACAATGAGGAAGGGAAAGAGAGGTAATCTTATACCCTGACAAAGTACTTTAACTGCTTTTGTTAAGCAATATGAGGTGAAAGAACAGAATGAAATGTCTGTCAGCATTCCATTGAATTAGATCGAAGGTGCAGTTTGCAGCTTAGTCGCTGTGATCCAGTAGTCCAGTCCAATATGAAAAAAAGCTGTCTTACAAGTAACTAAACCAACATCTCAAACTCACCAAACTTCTTCAAAATGTTTGTCAGAACTAAAGGGAACAAATAAGTTAGCTGTCAGCCTGTAGCAAAAAGATAAAATTGAATGAGCCTTTTAGGGTACCCCAAGTGTTTATCAGTTTTATCTACACAAACAGACAGTGACATCAAACTGTACACGTGTGTGCGTCACTGGTTTCTATTGGCCCTTAACACAAAACTCGCGTTTGTTTCACTGGCCACTCCTCAAAGAAGGCCATTGTGCGTCCAAGAAAGAGGCGAGAATTATAATTTAGAGGACAGTTTCCAAAGGACAAAACAGTTACAGTCTTCAAGGTAAGAAATGGATTATTATTAATTTTCTGTTATTACTGTATGTCTCTTCTCTCTCTCCATGTTTATATAATTTTATAAACATACATGTATATACAGACATATTGGTAGGGCCTCTTCAAATGTCTAAAATCCCCTTTACAAAAAGTACATTTATCTGTTTCTTTCAGAGTCAATTCTTATCTGATTGTGTGTTGTTGTAGATGTGTTTTTTCTTACAATATTTCAGAGCTAGTTTTAGCCCAGAGAGTTTCGCTTTCAAGTTATTTACAGCTGATGGCATTGCTGGAATTTCACATTTCTAACCTTCACTTCACACAGACTGTTTACTATCCAATTTTGAAGGTTCAAAATGTTATTTTTTTGCTTTCTTTTTTTTTGTTCAGAGTATTAAATTCTTATAAATATACAGAGAAGATATGTAAGAAACATGTTGATTAATTTTCAGTTTACAGTCCCTTTCTCTCTTTAAAATAAAGGTTTAAGTGCATTTATGTAAAAGAAGGAAACCCATTTTGGCAGGAGTCTTTAAAAAAACAACTTTAAGAGCACATTAATTTGCACTGGTTAATACTCTAAGAGTAATTTAAACAAACCAGTCTTACAATGAATGCAAAAAGCAGCTCAAAACGATACTTTTTCAATGTTTTTCTCTAATGATATCGAATTACATTTTTTAACTGTCTGAGAATACTAATTTGGGTCCAATTTGTATTTCAAGTGTAAATATTTCAAGTTAACATTTATCATCTTATTTGCTATACATTGATTAACTGATGGAATGCTTGCATTTCCTCCAAGGGTGACATGGAAGAAAAGCAAAACTCACAAATGAAAATAGTTCTGTTCCCTGGAAACAAACCACAGCGTATGCAGCCCAAACCTCAGGAGAGGGAGCAGTGGGGCAGTAAGATCGAGTTCATTCTGGCAGTGGCTGGACACATAGTTGGTCTGGGAAATGTCTGGAGGTTTCCTTACCTTTGCTACAAAAACGGAGGAGGTAAATGTTTGGTGTTGTAGTCTGATACATTACTGTGTTTTTGGTCTAACCAGCGTTTAGCTATTGGCTATTCCAAAACCTTCAAATCTGCTGGTACAGTTGGAAATTCATATGGAAAAAAAGAGAGAAAAATGTGGAGAACAACATGATCTGAAGGTTAATAAACACTGATATGTTTGCTTTTAGGAGTTTTTTTCATCCCTTATATTTTGTTTTTGTTCACCTGTGGCATCCCACTCTTCTTCCTGGAAACATCTTTGGGCCAGTTCACCAGTCAAGGTGGGATAACATGTTGGAGAAAGATCTGCCCTCTTTTCGAAGGTAGGAGTTAATATTAGATATTGGAATGAAATGTCAAATTGTACAAAAAAAGTGTGATGATCAGAATGGAAACGTTCACCAGATTCTGTTATGTTAGAAAAACATATTTTTTGCAGTGCAGATTTAATACTCAATCTTTTAGTCGTGTTTTATCCAAAAACAAAGTTTTCATGATTCGCTAAACTGTCATGTTTAAAGTTTTTTCTTTTAAGTGGCAGAATAACTCAAATCACAGTACAGTGTGAGTGGTATTGTTAGCTATTTGTGTGAATGCAAACCGTGACAGTAAAATGTGTGGCAGGATTATGATAAGTTTACAACCATAGTGGATATAGTGACAAAATATCAGATGCTCATACTTGAAAACCACGCAGGTGTAACCAAACCCATGATATATGTGGAGGGCTATTTGATACATATGTATGATTTGTTCCACAGCCCAAAAACATACTGTAACTCCTTAATAAATACTGTAGATAATTACACATAGCACTAAAACAAATTCATTAAATAAGAGATGTAAAAAGTAATAAATCATAAAGAATAAATCAATACAACCTTCGAGACTGGTGAACGGAGGTGTAGGCTCAGAGATGCAGGAGACGGAGGGGACGGTCAGTGTGGAGGTAGAGGTGGAGCCTGAGATACAGCACGAACTGTTACTTACTCTAACTTTCACTATGTGAACTTTAAACTTACTTAGCTTATTTATTTTTACCCAATTTTTAACTTAATTTGTATTTTTCTATGACATCGACGTCATATGTTGGAAATTTTTACTTCGGGTGTCGAGTCGAATATTAGATCAAATTTCGCTTTGTATGTTGGAAAATTCGTATGTTTAGCCAATCGTAAGTAGAGGTTCTACTGTATACATTATGGTGTCATAGTGTGACATACTTATCTCTCTACAGGGTTAGGTTATGGAAGCCAAGTGGTTGTTTTGTACACTGGGGTGTATTACATCATCATACTGGCTTGGACTTTTCTCTACCTGTTTTCATCCCTCAGGGCTGATCTTCCATGGGTCAGCTGTGATAATTACTGGAACACAGGTACCTGCTGCATTGCGAATCTATTACACATACACAACACTTTCTGCTTTCTCGGTTAATAACAAAATATTTTTCTCTTTCCTGGAAGATGCTTGTTTTGAGCACAGTCATAACAAGTCATCATCCGTGCACCTGTATGGAAATGCTACATCTTCAGTTGTAGAGTTTTGGGAGTAGGTATCAAATTTCATATAAGAAATCAAATCATATAAGTGCTTCAGTTGCTATTTGTTTCCTAATAAACTTTATTACAGGAGGAGAATCTTGGGGTTGTCGGATGGAATTGATAACATTGGCAATATCCGCTGGGATCTGGCTCTGTGCCTACTTCTTGCATGGATATTGTGTTATTTCTGTGTCTGGAATGGAGTCAAGTCCACAGGAAAGGTACAATACAAATAAAATATTCAGCCGTAATGTCTGATTTAATCTCATTACCATTTGCTCTTCTGTGAAATATCTGATCTCAAGAATGTACTAAAGCTAACGTGTGTTTGTTGTATCAGGTAGTGTACTTCACTGCTACATTTCCATATGTGATGCTGGTGGTCTTACTTGTACGTGGTCTTACATTGCCGGGAGCCAAAGAGGGCATTATGTTCTACCTTTACCCAGATCCATCACGCCTCGCTGATCCAGAGGTACAAATTCCTTATTATTATTATTATTATCAAATTTGTGTCCTAAAGTTCAGATTAAAAAAATACTCTTCGGTTTTTCTATATTTGTTGTAGGAGATTCTTAGTTTTTATTATGCATGACTGTTGGAAACAAGCACCGGTCTATGTGTGTTTTGGTCAGATTAAACAGATTTGTTTCTGACACTACTTCTGTCATGGACATAGTTGAGGTCTGGCCTCAGTTTGCCCCGTGTCTGGTTTTGCCTAAATGCTATAAAAAAAAAAAACATTTTCAATTTTTATCTTTTTATTTTCAGGATTAAAATTATGTTTATGTGCACTGTGCTTTTAACAAAATGATGAACATTTTCAAAGTCCAAATAGACACTTTTAGCATGTTTAGCTTTAATCCAACAACAACTAACACAGTTTTACCAGAAATGTACTATGTGCAGTCTCAGTCTCCAGGCTTTAGCACCTTAATAATGACTGTTTTGTAACCCAGGATGACAATATTTTATACAAAATTAGCACGGGTAAAGTCAAGGATTCCCAGCTGGTGGAGATTTGTAACATGTAAATGTAATTTATGTATCACGTGTATTTCACGAATAATGCTGAATACGAAACAATCTCTTAGGTGTGGATGGATGCCGGCAGCCAGATATTCTACTCTTATGGAGTTTGCACAGGGGTTCTGACATCATTAGGAAGTTACAATAAGTACAGCAACAATTGCTATAGGTCAGTATTTCTAAGGTTTCAGCTCACACCCAAAATGATGAATCTCGATATAATACCAGGTTTTCTGACATTTGAATATCTCACCAACAGGGACTGTATTTCCCTGTGCCTGTTAAACAGTTTGACCAGCTTCGTTGCCGGCTTTGCCATCTTCTCAGTGCTTGGTTTCATGGCAAAGGAGCAAGGTGTGGATATATCGATGGTGGCTGAATCAGGTACAGAGTGCTGCTGGTCGGTGTTGCATAGAAGCCCAAAGTAATGCTTAACAGTATGACTATGTTTGTTTTTAATGAACTCTTACAGGTCCAGGCTTGGCATTCATTGCATATCCTCGAGCCGTGGCTTTAATGCCATTGCCCCAGCTATGGGCAATTTCCTTCTTCGTCATGATCATCTTCTTAGGGTTAGACAGCGAGGTATGACAAGGATTCAAGTTGATAAAATCTGTAGCATGTGACTGAAAACCTAATTGTAAAATCACACAAATAGTAAAGCAAAATGTCTCTCGTCCCCAGTTTGTGTATCAGGAGGCCCTGGTCACAACCATCTCTGACATGTACCCTACATTCTTTCTAAACGCCTGTCGTCGTAAACTACTCCTCCTTCTCATTTGTACTGGAGGTTTCTTGTTTGGACTTGTGATGGTAACTGAGGTAAGAGATTTGAGATTTTGATAAATATAATTAAAATAGTTTAAAAGAAATGCCCTTTATGTCCAACTGGAATACCAAAACGTTTTTACTAATAGACCAGATTTGAAACTGAGATGTGCTTAAAAATCTACACACATCATGTACAATAAAATGCAACCCAATAAAAGTTTCCAGGTAGTGTCACTGAAAACAAAAAATTTGGATTTAAAGCGATTTTAACAATGTAAATACAAGCTGAAGGAAAGAGTTTTGAACAAAATTGTAATATTCCATAAATACTGATGTAAAAAATTAGGTATCTGGTTTTTATATAGAGGTGGCGGTGTGTCAGAAGAAAAAAATATTTTTAACTGTATTAATTTGGATTAATCTTTTCTACTATTGTTTAGTTTGCTTATCTTTATGACTGGTTTTCAGTTATAGATGATGTTTCCTGGTATTTGCAGGGAGGACTTTATGTTTTCCAATTGTTCGACTACTATGCCTGCAGCGGGATGACTCTTCTGCTTTTTGCAATTCTTCAGTCTGTTTGCATTGGATGGGTGTATGGTATGGAGCTAACTGAAATCTTTTGAGTCGCATAATATTTGTATTACATGACGAAAGGCAAGAAGGTTGAAGTAAATATTTAACACTACGTATTTTATTCAGGTGCAGATCTTCATTACGATAATGTAAAGGATATGATTGGATATCATCCATGGCCTTTTATGAAATACTGTTGGAAGTACTTCACCCCAGCTATCTGTACAGTAAGTATTCAAAATATAATTATTTAACCTAAATAGCCTCCTTAACTGAAGGCCAGTGTCACTGACAGCTCTGTTCTCTGTCCATTTCTCAGCCAGATGGGAGTGGAGAATTTAGCACTATATTGGCCTCTATGTTTGAAAAGATATGCATGTTTTTGGAAAAGTATATTTCATATGATACAGCTGTGTTTATGTATGTTCATGCTTATTTTAGGCTAATACAGCTCTTGAACCAAACAATCTATTGATTTCAGAATACAAATTATCATAAAGGCTCATAGCCAATCAACTTATTTGTCATTCCTGAATATGTAACACGGACTTGCAAAAAAATGATCTTCAAACTGACCCATAAATAATGAAAAGGGGGAGTGCTTTAAATGGCCAATGGATATTCGCAAAATCTACAATAACACCTTTTACAAGAAAAAAAAGAAAACACTAGAATTTAGTTTGTATTTTTGTATTTAGTTTCATTTTTTAACTTTAGTATCAGTTTGTATCACTTTTCGTAACTGTTTTAATGACTAAAAATGTCCTTGTGTTAAACAATATTTTTGTGTCTTTGTGTCCATGTCAAACTAATTGTATTGTAATGACACAGTCTTCAGTAAGAGTAACTCAGAGATATGACTCCTTAAGTCCATCTTAAAGGTTATAATGTAAGTAATGGCTTCATGTCAGTTTGGTTGTTGTAGTTTATGCCTTGTCTCCTGTTCTCCATCTCTTTTAGTTCACATTTTTGTTCTCCCTGATCAAATACACACCTCTTAAATTCAACAATACCTATGAATACCCATGGTGGGGATACGCCATTGGTGGATTCTTTACTCTCTCTTCCACGTTGCTGGTTCCTGGTTGGATGCTGTACACTGTAAGCATCACTCCAGGAACACTACAACAGGTAAATTAATCTACTCAAAAATTCAATTCACTGAAGTGAAATTATGTTACATCTTATAATATCAAAATTATGTTTTTCTTTTACTACACAGAGACTGAAACTTCTGTGCACTCCAGCAAATGACTTGTCAACTGCAGCATCAAAGAAAGCCAAAAATCATGAAGCTTTTCAGACTTTTACAGACTTGCACACCCTACGCAAGACAGAGTACAGGTGACGGATTTGACCAAACTCACAGAGACTCACTGTCAAACTCATACTAATTTAGTCCTCAGCTAAAAATGAGAAAAAAAGGCTGCGGAAATAGCATCAGAAAAGAAAAAATACATAAAATAACAAAGCAAAAAGAAGTGAAATTGAACACTGCTTTTAGGCTAAATATTGTAGGGAACAAGCTCAAATGGACACAAAAATCCAATATGAAATTTATTGAAATGTTACATAGTACCTCCATGTGTTTACTCAGGATTTATTTGTAGGGGCATATTTTGGTTGGATTTCACCCAACCATCATAAATGATCCAAGATGACATTTTGATGTGGGAGAAAAAAAATAAAGTTAATCCTTAAGATTTTAGAGAACTCTGCTGGTAAACAAAGACCATCCATAGTCCATGTAAATAAAAAAATCACAAGTTCTTATAATTTGTATTAAAAAAAGCTGAGATGTAGTTCACAAAAGTCTTTAACAGAACGTGATACTGGCCTGGGTCTTTTGAGGGGATTTGCAGTACTCTTGCTTCTGTTACCATTCTACTTCCAAGGCAAATTTGTGAACTTGAACATGTGTGACAAGTTACACGAAAGGGACATGTTCCTTTCGTGCAACTTGCCACTGTGTTCCTCTTTGTCTAAACAGGAACTGATGGAGACCCTTGCTGTGTTTCTGTGAACTACTGGTTAGCCTGTGAGATTGACTTTGGAACGGTCTCAGCATTGACAGTTTGAATGTTTTCTCTGTGTTTGTGGGGATTTTCTCGGCAAACTTGCTCTTTTTCATGCCTCCACTCTAACCCATGTAAATGGGTGACCTGTAATTCCAAATGGACTGTTGGTGTAAATGTAAGTGTTTCTGTGGGCTAGCTTTGTGATGAACTGATAGCCAGGTGACAGAAAAATGTTTTTCCCATGGAAGACCAGGATTTTTTCTTTAGGTTTTTTGCATTTAGCTGACGCTTTTGTCAAAAGCGACTTACAATGCAGACACAATAAAACAGTTATCACCGACCTAACAATAAGCTCCATGGAAGGAAATCACTAATCAGACTCTGTTAGAGACATTAGTGTACAGATAGAGGGAAGCACAGAAAGAGGAGTAGAGAGGGTGGGGAGGTACAGGTAAGTATAAGGGTTTTATATTCTGAGCTTTACAGTCTCAGCATATTCATGCAGCATTCCCTATAATGACCTGATTTTAGGTCAGCTTAATGTCCAACCTCTAGAAGAATGTCTTTAAATCAAACATGTCATCAGTTGCCTCTCTTGAATTTTCTCAAGCCAAAATGATAATGTGAGTTCATATCTTTGATAGCTGATGCTTGTGAAGCCTTCAGGTGTCTTGGCATTTTCATTTGTCACAGTGCTTGTAGAGCCAGTAACCATGAGGTGTTGAGGATTTTAAATCTAATAGAATAAGTGTTCATTTACCTCAAACTCAGCACAATTGGTGCTCAATGAATGTGAGGTAGAGAAATACTTAAAAATAAGACATGGGCACCGATAACATTGAAATAGGCCATATGAGATGAGAAAATCTGAGAAAGGTTTGCTCTAAGTGGACTGACACGCCTTCAGTATCTAAGGCAGTGGGAAAACTGGGCTCACTGGTTGAACAACCCTTTGACACAATGCATATTGACAACTTTGATTACAGACTGATTACAGTGTATTGTGAGACCTCTGGATTTAACTGTTTCACTCCTGAGGTAAAGTTTAGGTGCCCTTTAGTTTAGTCTGCTATCTAAGATTTTCCTCTGGCTTATTGTTTTGGTTTCAGTGTATTTCGATCATATGGGCAAGGCTAACAGATCAAATCCAATACCAGATTTAGTAAGGTTATATTTTAACAAGCTGAGATGTTCAAACTTTATAAAATTAGCACGAAAATCTACAAAAATCCCTGATGGGTCAGTCTCAAATCTCAACTTGAAGAAAACAGCAGCTCTGGCAGCTTCAGTCAACCTCCAGCTGTGACCAATTGTACAGTTTTTTTATGTTTGTTCCGCTGAATAATGCCATCAGTAAATTGTGTTAATACAGATATATGTATATATATTGTGTGTGTGTGTGTACATGTGTGTGATAATAACTCTGTAATTCTACTTTTTGTCCAATATTATGTACGTTTTAGATAAATATAGAAAAATAATCTGTTTCTATGAACAATGTATATTTTCAAATGAGTTATGTTTAATTATCACTGCACAAATACTGAGCTATTTTGAAACAGGACCGTGGATAAACTATGATTCTATGGAATGTACATTTTTACATAAACAGTTGTATGCCTATACTGCTGTACTACTATGAGCCATTATAAGCTGTTTTAGAAAAACAAAAACTACCTGTGTACTACCTTGGAAGCTTCCCTCACCATTTTTTCTTGTTCTTGACTCTGGTCTAGATGCTCAAATCTGAAAATGTTTTTAAAGATCATTAAATCTAATTTGTTGTGTTTTTATCACAAATGTGTTGCCTCAATGTTTTTTTTTAACTTTCATAAGTAGTTATTGTCAATAACTATCAACACGTTTAAGATTATTTTGCCTACAAAGAATTTAACTGTTGCTAGAGTTCACATCCGCAGTAATACTCCAACTGTGTAAGTCTGGCTAAATCAGGCTTATTTATGGGTTTCTCATAAAAACTCCATAAACACTCCATCCCCCTAACCCGAATATGTAAGAACTCCAACAGTTAACACGTCTTCTCTTGTTTTAAACACATTGTTCTTTTCACAATATTCTAAAGTTGAGGATATTGTCAATGTATTTTTTAACTGCAATTTTTGTACCTCATGTGCATTTTACACAGATTGAAAGACAGACAAACCATGGGCCGCTGTTCAAAAACTTTAGTCATATCTGACAAACTCTTCAACTATGAGCACCAGGAAGATTTCTGGAACGCGCCTTTCATTTTTAAATCAAGCCACAGTTGTTTAAGTAATATTGAAAGAGATGCAGGAGATATAGTGTATTTGTCCAATTTGGCTGTGATATTGCACACTTTCCCCTCTGAGAGGCAGTAGAGGTCAGTTCTGAGAATTCTGTTTTAATCACTGCAGTGAGAAAAGTGTCTCTTGTTTGCAGAAATATCAACATGCATCAATGCCATAGGTTTTTGTTTCACATGCACAAACACACACCATCATAATCCTCATACGTAACCCACAACACTGAAGAGAGGAAGCCCTTTCAGCATGTGTTGCTAAGACTCCACAAGAACATAACTAAAACAGATTAACAGATACAAATAAATACACTGCTGGATGATTTCAGTTTGCATTCAATTTGTAAGAAATGAGCAAATAACCAGGATGTATATTATTAAAACCAGAAACATAGGAAGCTTTCATATCACACTCTGTCGTGAAGCACATAGAAAGTGCCTAAACTGTATCAACGTCTTCAGCAAAAAACAAACAAACAGGATAGCTAAAGAGGTATTGTAATATAATAAATTCCTTATATTCCATTGCAAGTTTCGAGTTCCCATGAGTAAATTAGTATTTTCAACACCAGAGGGCGCTGCTATGGCAAATATCTAAATAGTTTTCTCAATCTCAGTCAGTAAAGACCATCGTAGAGACTTTCTGCACAGCAACAGCCCTTTAACAGCCCGATAAGCAAGAGGGGGAGTAGGCAATATGCACAATCATGCATAATCTTGCCTTTCTAGAATAAAACTTTTCTTCAAAAGCCAATTTTATTCAAAGTGGAGGAAATGAGTCTGGAGGCTAACACATGATTAAATTAAGTCTATATTTAAAATGAATGAAAAGCGTGACAAAGTTGGGAAACCAAAAATAACACTGAGAGTAAAAAGAGCTAAATATAGAAAAAACAGTGAATAGAGGAGCAGGACTGCAGGTAAGACTAATGTTGAAAGTGAAGACAGGGAGAAGACAAAGACAGAGAAAAACAAACAAAAGTTAAAGAAATACTGTGAGGGAACTAATGAGAAAGTGTCAGCTGCTATGACTGATTCACAGCATAGAAATACTAAAGACACCAGGGGAGAGGACCAAGGGAAGAATATCTCAGAATAATAATAAGAAGCAAGAATTTGAAAACTGAGTGCAGAAAAATAAAACAGAATACAAGAAATGTAGGTCAAACAAAATACCAGCCCAGAGCACTGAGCAGACTTTAAACCAAGGCACAAAAACAGCTGAACCAGAGCACTGAAAAAGGCAACTTCACAAAAAACATGGACAATGAAAAAAAGTGGGTTGTAAGCTGTACACCCACCAAAATGTTGAACTTTTGTATTAAACAAACAATAAAAAAACATCTTCAACAGTGCGCTGAGAACCAACCCCATTATATATTTCTTTGTGAAAACTAGAATAAGGGGGTAAAAAGAAAGCATTTGAAGTGTTGCTGATTGAGTATTGATGGGTCAAAATATTTACTGTTGGGAAAACTGAGGATCAGGGGGAAGGTTATCAGGGTGTAATCCATGACGACGCGAGTGTTAGTGCCACCCTGCAGGGGGGATTAGTCCAGGAACTGACCTCATCATGCATCACGCTGAGTCTGGGACAGGCGGTCCTAAAAGAAAGTCTTTCCCCATTAATGTTCATTTCACTGAAGGAGCAACACAATAGTTTATAAGTCAATCAATTTGTCACCCAAACAGACTTTATATAGTTTTTCTCACATTATTCAATTATAGACCAAATTTCCCTACAAAGTCCATTTCCAAAAGCAGTACATTCTTTACTGCCATTTGACTTTAGTTTATATATATATACCTACATATAAAGGAGACATGCCCTACCTTTGACACATCTTCACCGAAAGCAATATAATTGTCAAATATCTTACAAGTAATGAATGATCTTGTGCACATTTACTGGTGGTCGAACTCAAGTCACTGTTAAAGTTTTTTTTTTAAACTATGCATTCAGTGTGAAATGTAGAAAAAAATTCTGTCCACAACACTGTTAAAAGTCGCTAATACCATGTTCGGTCTTGACCTATGGAGATTTAAATTGCAGTTCCTGTTTGCTTCCTGTTACACTTTCAGTGTAATAAGAGGCCACAAGTGTGTTAAGTACTTGTACCTGTAAAGTCGAGAGCTTATGCCAATTAAGTGTTGTTAGCGTGTGATGGTAGGTGTGCGGCAGGGCACACTTGTGATATAAGCTTTTTTGGACTTCTCACCTTGCTCAGGATTTGATAGAAATCTCATTTAGTGCTCAGCTCTCATATCCTCATTACACCAGCTGTCCTATCTATCTATCTATCTATCTATCTATCTATCTATCTATCTATCTATACGTTGATCTATATTTACTAGATGACTGCGTGCGTATCTATTCATCTTTTGAGAACCATGTGTCTTTCAGGTTTTAACCCTCAATCTTATTTGTAAAGAACAAAAATATTAACAGAATGTATTCAATCTGGATTGTATGGATCATTTTATTCTATCTTAAAGACTCAAAGAACGATTTAACTATGGTAACTATATTATTATAAAGAGTAAAAAAAAGCATATAAGCTTTGAATACAAAAATCACGCAGCTCATTATGAATAATAAAATGAAAGAATAGCTTAAAGCCTTCATTTTTGGCCTCAGAAACCTTCTGCTTTCCCCAAACAATTCAAACAGCCCAGTTCTGCGGTAATCATTTATGTGAAACTATGTTAATTAAAGAAGACAGGTTTCACCCCTAACGTGCACTGTGACTCCAAGACAACCTACTTATCGCTTCTGTCTTGCGTACAAGGTGTGAATCCAATTTGTGAGACTGAAGATTAGGTAGTGTCAAACCCCTCCGGTTTAACAGCTTGCTAGTGACAATTTTTGGATGCTAAGCGGATGAACACAAGCTTCTTGGTCAGGAAATCCCACTTGTTGGAATTGGCATGCTTATGAGAGCTTTGTGACAGATGGTTTCCTGTTAGAACACCAGGCAACTCCCATCAGTATTGTTATCAAAATTAGTATATAATGTAGATAACGTTCCAGATATACATTGTAAGATTTTAATTGAATATTGTCAAAGAAAACAGAATTTGGAAACATTTCTGAGCTGATTGAAAGAAATGACACATAATGACATTTCCTGCATGGGAATAGTCCAGCC